CCGGGCCTGCCGGGAAGGAGGAGGTGGCGGCACCGGGACGGGCCCAACCAGGACGAGCCCAACCGGGACGGGCCGAACCGGGACCAGCCGAACCGGGCCCGGAGCGGAGTGACCCACCCCCGTGCAGCAGGGCTGCAGGAACGGGCTGCGTGCGGGGCGGCTGCCTCGCGTGAGCACACGGAGAGGGCACCTCTGCTGCGTCCCGGCCAGGACTTGTAGGTTAATTAAATGAATGGGTCGTTAAGGGCCCGGGGGGTGATGCGGGGGGTGCTGCTCCTGCTGGTGTGAGGTGTGGGACTTGGAATCACGGAGTGGTTTGGGACCATTAAGGAACCTTAAAGATTACCCAGATCCAACCCCCTGCATGGGCAGGGACACCTCCCACCAGCCCAGGCTGCTCCAAGCCCCATCCAACCTGCTCTTCAACACTGCCAGGGATGGGGCAGCCACAGCTTCCCTGGGCAACCCGGGCCAGGCTCTCACCACCCTCACAGCACAGAATTTCTATAATACTCAGTGCCCTATTGCAGTGCTGTTGTGTTAAGAAGCACATTCATATTATTTAACCTTTCCCAGCCTATCCATAATCTGAGGGAGACCTGGAGAATCTGGGGTTGCTGTTCACACTGGATTGGGGTGGGCAAATGTAGCCCCTCTGTTTTCCAGGATGCCCTGGGCTTGGCACATATGCTGAGCTGCAAACAGAACTCCCACAGGGAAGCCAGGAAGCTCCTGCAGCCCCCTGGATGGGGGTCCTCAGGCAAGGAAGGAGTTCTGGGGCAGTGTCACCTGGTATCTGAATCAGGTACTGGGGGAACATGAACTCACATCTGCTTTACTGCAGGCCCAGCAGGAGTTTTGGGAGATGCTGCCAAGTGCTGGTGTCTATTACTTCCCATGGGAGATCAACAACTCAGTGCCAGAGGGGAAGGCACTGAGGACATTTGGCAGGTAAGGAGGGTACCCCAGTCTCCTTGCAGGGCTGGCCTTTCCTTCGCTGGCTGACTGCCTCCCATTTTTGCAATTGTTGAAACAATTGCACTGCTGAACGTCCCGCATGGATCATTCCCAGGTTATGCTGCTACGACCTGGCCACGTCCACAGCTCTTCTGACTGCTCAGCACAGCTCAGCCCAGTACCAGGTCTGTGTTGACACCAAGTTTGTGGAGCCATTCCAAGCCCACGTGGGATCTCGCTACATGGTCCTGGGAGAGGCTGAACACAGGGAAGGTAAATGCTCCAAGATCCAGTGCTGTTTGCTGCTGTCCATGCTTCATCAGCTCCTTCCTGGCTCCCTGGGTGCATGTCACACTGTCACTGAGCTCAGCCTCGGCCAAGGCAGGCTCATCTCAGGTGGCTGCCTCATGTCACACAAACTTGTGATTAGGGGCAGGAGCAGCCCAGCCTGACCACGCTTACCTTGGTGAAAATGTGCTGCTCTGGCACAGATTTTATTAGAAACAAGAAGAGCCTCAGCAGCATCACTGTGAAACCTGTGCCAAAGCCTTCTGGCATCCTTGCCAGCCACCACATCATCTTCACTCCAAGAGTGCAGCAAGATCTCATTGTGAGCTGGCTGGGTTGGTCTTTGCCATGCTTGAAAGGCTCTAATTATACCCCTGCCCTCAGACAAGGAATGCAGGCAAGGCTCTGTCATGCAGGGCACCCTGTTGTCTTCTCCTGGCATGCCATGAGTGTTCCTCCAGCTGCACAGCAGGGAGTTGATCTGGGCTGGGCCCTGGGGTTGTGAAGCAAATCCCACTGTCATCTGGGCCACACTTGATAACAAGCGTTCATGTTTGTGCCCTTGGCATCCTCAGTGGCATGTGGAAAGCCACACTGCATGTGGCATCTGGTGAGCAACCTGCCAAGCCACTGCTAAAAAATTCCCTTAGAAAGACACCTTGTTTTGGTCATCACAGCTTAGCAGTGAGTTGGCTCCATTTTGCAGGGGTGAAAGGGGAACAAGCTGAGATTGATGACTGTGTCACCAAAGTCAGGCCCCTTTGTGCAGCCTGGTGTTAGCATTTGAATGCATCTGAGGAACTGTCCTAGTCAGCATTGAACCTCTTCTAAGCCCAGCTTTGGTTTGTCCTCTTCTTGTCTCCACAGAGACATTCAGAACTAAGCCTTGACCCATCCCTGAGGCTTTTTAGCCAGGGAAAACCCAACGTCATCCAGCCACGAAGTAGACAGATGCTGCACGGCAGGCACAGGCACTGACTTGGCTCTTTGTCCTCCAGTGCAAAGAGAGAGCAGTGTCAGTCACTGGCATTTTTTAGCCAACAGGGCAGAGGGAAAACATGTCACTGACTTAACCTGCTCCCAGGCTCACATTAGGGGAGGGACGTGGCAGGTCTGGTCTCCTGCAAGGTCTCAAGCTATGGTTATTTGGCCAGCTAGAGCCATATGCTGCCCGAGGAAACCTCTGTTTGCCTCTGAGCTGCTCCGTCTATTTTTCTTTCTACAGAAGCTTCCTGTTTGTATTCCCAGGTGAGGGTCTGGTGGTAAAGGCACGAATATTGACCTGCGTGGAAGGGATGAATGTGCCCTTGCTGGAACAAGCCATACAGGAGCAGAGAAAATACTTCAACGAGAGGCAGGAGCAGATGGGAAACAGAATGTCCTGACAGCAGCTCTGAGACACTCATCCTTGTGCTGCCATTTGCAATAAGTATGTTAGAAGTAAATTTAGAGGGTGGGCTTGCAACATTCTGGTTTTTGCCATGGCAAAAGGGAAGCACTTGAGGTCTGTGAGTCAGTATGTGACTGTGGGTTGTCCATTGATGCCAGCTGTCATCACTGAAAATAGCTCTGGGAAGCAGCTTTGTTGTTTGTTTAAAAGGGTGGTTAAGGAAAGGCAGCACTTAAGTTATATGGGTCCTTTTGTGATGCAAGGCTTGGAGGTGGCAGGAAAAAGAGAAGTCTTTAAATCTCAAGTCACACCCACTGCCATAGCACAGAGGGTCACCAGGCTGTTGGCAGATGGGAGGTAAAGGGCACAAGGTTGGTTGGTCTGTGTGGCTGCAGCTCCTCGAGTGCCTTCGTTTGGTTATCATGACTCAGTTGCCACACAGGAGCATTCCTGGCAAAACACTCACATTTCTGGACTGAACAACAAAGAAACAAGAGCAAAGAGTCACTATTTTCAGTAGCACCTGCTTCTTTGGGTTTTCAGGAGTGTTCAAGGGGGAAAATTACTTCAGTTCTAAAATATTAAGAGTGCCCTGAGAACCACCACTTGACTTTCTTCCTTGACTCAATTTTCAGATACTTCCGATTACTATTTTTTAACCCTCTAAAGATTTTGATTTATATTTTCCTGAATAAAGATGAAAAGAGAAGGCAGCCCGTCTTGTTTTGATTAAAAACCTCTTTATTGGAGGGCAAATGCATTAGGCCTTGCAGAAATCCCACGGATGATGTAAGAAAATAGCCATATGCAATTTTCCTCTTTCTCCTGAGTGCTGGGTGTGTGAGGAAGTGCTTGGCTTTGAAAAAGTTGCACAACTAGGGAGATGAAGTTACATAAAAGGCACTCTGGTTTAAGCATATGGTGCCCCAAGCCCACCTAGCAGAATTAAACCATCAAAGAGAGAAAATCGCTGCTGAGAGATGAGAATAAAATGTTTGTGCAACACAGAGAAGACTGTCCTGTGCCAAAGGAATTCCCAGACCCAGAGTGGGTTGGGACTGTGGTTTGCAGGGGAATTCAGCCCCCTGCAGCCTTTCCTGCTTTTTGCTCAGATGCTCTAGTGAAATGTTCAGACAATAACAACTGAAGCCCTACACTAGATGATCTTTCGAGGTCCCTTCCAACCCCTAGGATTCTATGATTGGCAAAGCTGCAGGCTTGATTCAAGAGCCTGAGGTGGCTCAGTAATTACAGTGCTTGCTAGAGTCTTTAATCATAGTTTAGCCAGTTGTTTTTCTTCATGCAGTTAAGGAGATCCAAAAGCCCTGCCTCAGCACACTCTCACTCCAGCCCACTGAAGAGGCAAGATTTTAACCGGGTTTTGAAGAGACAATTGGGAATCCCCTATGATGTGTTTATGTTTACACCTCATCTCTGCCCTCCCACCTTCCTCTCTCTGCTGAAAGTTTGCCAGACAGCTGGGAATAGCCAAGATGCCAGGACAAGGAATATCCAAAAATCTCATGAACTCAACCAGCCCAGAAGAGGAGAGCACATTTGGCAATTACTCCAAGTGGAGACATGAGTGCAAATTCAACTTTCACAAGCCAGCAAAGAACCCACACAGGAGTGGGTTCCAACCACAGAGCAACCTTGCTTTGGTTCTTTTAAATTGGCAGGATTTTGAACTAGTGGCTCAGCAATGGGGTAAATCAGTCCTTTTTAGGTCACCTCAATGTTGTGGTGTGTGCTGCAGACCCATGCAGCCCGTGGGCTGCTGTGTCCTGCTGTGCTCACCCAAATATATGGAGTCCCCAAGCCCTCCAGAGGACAGTCCCTGTGGCTCTACCTTTGCTGGAGCCATGATGCATAATATCTTTCCAGTGTTCTGTCAACTGTGAAGTCAATGATTAATCCCTCCACAAGGACATCTTTGAAAGGTTGACCAAGCGGCACAGCCCGCGCTGGGGAGGTTCAAGGGACAATTGTGCAAGATTAAAAAAAACAAAACAAACCCCCCAAAAAAGACATTTCTGCTGCTTTTTCAGCTCAGTATGTCCCAGGAAAACCTAATTACACACCACATCCCCCTGACACCAGCAGCTGTACAAAGGCAGCTGCAAAACTTCCCTTAGCCTTGTGCTGCCTTTCCTGCAAGCCCAAAGCATAGAATCATACAAGCGTTAAGGTTGAAAAAGAAATTAAAGATGATCAAGTCCAACCCTCAGCCCTACACCCCTGTGACTACCCAGCCAGCTGCTGAAGTACCACATCTACTTGTTTTCTGAACACCTCCAGGGATGGTGCCT